TAGAGATTTTTCAGTAATGCTTAATTACCTGTGGTTGTTTAAAAGAATAAAAGGAGATTAGATCCTTCACTTCTGTCCTCTGATCTGAGACAGCAGGTAAGGGTGACCAGAAGTTGTTGAAAAATGGGCAGAGGAGTTAAGCAACCCTGATAATTCTGGCAATTAATGGGAGCTTTCTTTTAAAATAAACCCTCCAGCTAGTAGGTTTTTTGTCTTTTAGAGGCAAACTGATTTTCATTATTGGAATTTTTCTTTTCAATGAAGAATCCTACAGGAGAAATTAGACCAGCCTGTCTCTGCTCCACCATCACCTAGAGATATCTCCATGGAGATCGATTCTCCAGAAAACATGATGCGCCACATCAGGTTTTTAAAGAATGAAGTCGAGCGGCTGAAGAAGCAACTTAGAGCTGCTCAGTTACAGCGTACGTAGCCTCCATTTTCATTGCTTTCCTGTCTCTAGAATTAATACATTTACCAAATGCAGAGTATTACCCATATTTACCATTGAATTAAATTCATCAAATTCATATTGTAATTGTAGCCTCCATTTTCATTGCTTTCCTGTCTCTAGAATTAATACATTTACCAAATGCAGAGTACTACCCATATTTACCATTGAATTAAATTCATCAAATTCATATTGTAATTAAATTCATGTTTTATTTTATTACTGATACATGCTTACATAAATAGACCTATCATCCTGGAATAGATTTTCATTTAAACATTATAGTAGGGGAGGACAGACCACTTAGAATGCTTCTAGAGAATAATTTAAATAAATTCAGGAGGGTCCAATGTCACAGGTAGTATGTTTGATCCTTTCCCCCATGTTCATCTTGAGGATTGTGCTAATAACAAAAATATTGTAGGAGACCTCAATGTGCTTTTGGAATATTAAGGCAGAATTAGAGTGTTTACATTCCTTACTACTAAATTTAGCCTTAGCTGGCATTTGTTCACAGTATTTGAAGAATAAATGCTTTTGAAATTTATACTTAATATTCTAGAAGAGGCTAAAGATGTTGAGTTGGAAATCAAAGGAGCTGGATTTCTGAATGCTTGATTAGGTCCCTGTGTGTTTTCTTGGGTCTCCGCTATTTCTACTTTTTTGGCTGCTCAAATGTATCTTTTTAAATAGATAATACAGTGAAGGGTATGCAGTGAAAAAATAAGTCTCACTTTCACCCCTGGTCCCCAGGCACTGGTTTCCACAAATACACATTTTTATCGTATTCTTCCAGATAGATGTATCTGTGTATATAAAGTTCTTTTATACAAGTAGTAGTACAAGAAGCATACTGTTTTGCACCTTTCTATTTTTACTGACTATGTCCTCCAGTTTTTCCCTTCCCGTACATACAGGGCTGCCTTAGTCCCTTTTTAAAAATCTACATAGTATTATATTGTATGGATAGAACAACTTTAACTAGCCTCATAATGACGGACCCTTCTCGGTTGTTATGCCGCAACTGCAATGAACGTCTTTGTACACATGGCTGATACCTGTGTAAGAACACCTTCAGGATAGATTTTAGGAAGTAGATTTGCTGGATCAAAAAGAATAAGCATTTAAAATTTCAGTGGTTCTTTGTTTTCTTCTCTGAAGTTCATGGCAAGTTCTAGTACAGTGGTGCATCAGGATCATCCCTGGACATTTAAACAGTATAGCGTGTTAGTTTCCTATTTCTGCTCTAACAGATTACCACACACGTGGTGGCTCAAAACAGTACAAATTTATTGTCTTCCAGTTCTGGAGTCTGCAGTCTGAAATGAGACTCACTGGGCTAAAATCAAGGTGTTGGCAGGGCTGCGTTCCTTCTGGAGGCTTTAGGGGAGAATCTGTTTTCTTGCCTATTCTGTCTTCTAGATGCTGCCTGCATTCCCTGGCTCATGACCCCTGGTTAGCAGTGGAATAAGTCCCACCTCTGCTTCTGTCGTCACATCTCCCTTTATAAGGACCTTTGCAATTATGTTGGGTCCACCTTGATAACCCAGGATTACCTTCCCATCTCCAGGTCTTTAACTTAATCACATCTGCGAAGTCCCTTTTGTCATGAAAGGTAGTAGCATTTATAGGTTCTAGAGTTTACATGTGGACATCTCTAGGGGACCATTGTTCTATCTAACACCACCATATACAGGTCTCTGGGTTTACTCTACAGGTAGAACCTGGTCCACTGAATTAAAAAAAAAAAAAAAGTAATTCTGACATGTACCTCAGGTTGATAACTACGACATATATTCCATGAAAACAAATGAAATAAATCAAATCAAGGAGTTCTCAAATATTAGTTATTTTAAGATGTGTTTCAGTTTTTGTTGTATTGGGTAGACAAATATCTTTTAGCACCTTTCTGAACTCTTTCTGGTGCTGTCAGTTTGCCTTTTTCTTCTCCACTTACACTTGCTATGTTGTGCTTCAAGCAAAATTTTTAGAAGAATTTGGGAAGAGTTTTTTATTTTTACTACTTGCACTGTAGCGCACCATTTGGTCTTTGAGGAGACCGCAGTTACCAACAAGGCATCTGTAAGTGCTATTTTGATTTTGCGAGGACAGAGAAAGCTGAGCTGAAGAAGGGGCAGGTGGCACTGGGCTGCCTGTAGTTGGTTTGGATTGGGCTTAGAGGAAGAGTTAGTGACTTCTCCTCGTCCATCTGCCTCATCCTCCTGGGGTCAGATGACCCTCATCTCCTTTGGATGCCACAGGCCTCATCTGAGCTTAAACCTCTCTCTCCATAGTTCTCAAATCTGGTTGAACATTGGAATCCCTTGGGAAGCTTTTTAATGCTTCTCCTCGTCCATCTGCCTCATCCTCCTGGGGTCAGATGACCCTCATCTCCTTTGGATGCCGCAGGCCTCATCTGAGCTTAAACCTCTCTCTCTATAGTTCTCAAATCTGGTTGAACATTGGAATCCCTTGGGAAGCTTTTTAATGTACCAGTAGCCAGGCCTCATCTTCAGGGATTCTGATTTAATTGGTTGGGGTAGGACCTGGGCATCAGTGTTTTCTAACCATAAACTTGAAAGGGAATGCAAAATGTAACAGGCCACCTTTGGATTATTTGAGTCTGTCTGGAAGTCATCTCGGTTGCCACTATCTTTGACTAACTATTGGGAAATGGCTGGAGTTGGGGGAAATAGAGCTGTGGGCCTGAAGTACTAGGGAGCTCTGTGTGAGAGAAGGAAGGAGGATGACTCACGGGAGGAAGTCCAGTCAGGTGTGGCGGTAGGTGTGCCAGCAGAGGGCACCTGAGGAATGCCGGGGTGCCAGCCATCTGTGCCTGGGTCTCTGACACCCAGAGGTGTTGGATCCAGTGTCTTCTCTGAACCTCTGGCTTCTGGGTTAATTGCTGCATTGTCAGGAAGTCTTCAGCCATCACTTCAGGTGACAATCTCATCTGTAGATTATCGTTTAAGGATCCTCGTGTGGATTCCCCAGGTGGTAAGGATTGCTATTTTCTTTGAAAGACCATGTTTTCTCTTAAATTATTGTTCTTGGGGCCTCATGAATCTTCAATTCTGTGAAGCTTTCCCATTTATGGAAAAGAAAGTCAACTTGCTCGGACAGTCATCTTTCTATTTCAGAAAACAGTAAATACTCCAAGGGGCCAATCAAGTGCTTCCTGTAGAGCTAAGTGAAAAATTCTGCATGCTTGCATATTTGGGCTGAAATAACAAATCATTTATATTAAAAGTGCACTTTGTAAATGTTTTCCCAGCATGCCTTCAACTAAAGAGATTTTTGCATCTGGATTAGACAGCGGGGTTTCTGGCTATATTGAAAACAAATGAGAGATTTAGTGTTTTGTGCACATAATAGTGTTTAATAATTTTGGTATTTTTATTTGAATTTCTAAAATAAGGATTTTCAAGAGCTTTTATATATTCTGTAATGATGCTGTTTTGGAAATCATTGAATACCTATCATCAAATGTCATTATTTGCTGAAATGCCAGGCCTTCATCGAGTTGCTAAAGACTGAAACTAATTTTCCATGCTTTGGGAGTTGAAGTAGGGTCAGTTCTTGGGAGAGAAGTGCTCAATGTGGCATTCAGCTCTTTCCATCTTTCTTAAATTTGGGCTGGGCCAATAATATGGAGCAGCACACAATAGGAAACACTCAGACATGTTCATGGCCACTCTGAATTTGTAGCTATTTCTCAGAAACGAGAAGTATATGAAGATTTTACTTTTCCCAAGTTCATTGATTGGGGCAAGGAAAAGGAAGGAAGCAAACACTGAGTTTTATATTAGGGTTATTTTTGTTACTTGGTAACAACAGATTCCATCTGAGATAAAGCAGAAAGGGAGGGGTATGGGACAGGAGGTGGGGGAGACATGTTTTGCCTTTTTTTGGAAGAGTGCTGGAGTGTGCCACAGAATCCTGAAAAGAATTATCTCAGAAGGGTAGGGGTTGGGATTAGCAGAAGGAGATTGTGGAGCTCCGTGAAGATGTCAGCTCCCATTTCAGATTCCTGGGGGAGAGAATCTAAGCAGCTCAGCCTGGGTGCAGCGTGCAGCCCTGAGGTGAGGTGTTAGAGCTAACTGTTACCATGTGTGTTCTTCTAGTACCCTGTTCTCGGTGTGCCTCTGCTGCCATGCACGGTGGGTGTGCTCACAAGTGTCACAAGCTCCCATGCAGGACTCTCTCTGCGCCTGGAGTTGGGAGGCAGCTGAATTGGTGCTTCGAGGGGAGCCCGTGGGCGGAGTCTATCTCCCTGACCCCTTCCTCCCAACAGCTCTGGCAGCCGCCACCTCGGACTCAGCTACAGTTGCTCTGTTTCCTCTTCCACTTACAGCACTTGAGAACGCAGGAGAGTGGGAGTGAAGATTAAGAACCTCCTGGCACTGTCTTTTATATATTTTTTCTAAATGCAAATCATTGTTAAACTTTGATGTTTGGGATAAACTTTGAGTCCCTAGGGGTTGGGATTAGCAGAAGGAGATTGTGGAGCTCCGTGAAGATGTCAGCTCCCATTTCAGATTCCTGGGGGAGAGAATCTAAGCAGCTCAGCCTGGGTGCAGCGTGCAGCCCTGAGGTGAGGTGTTAGAGCTAACTGTTACCATGTGTGTTCTTCTAGTACCCTGTTCTCGGTGTGCCTCTGCTGCCATGCACGGTGGGTGTGCTCACAAGTGTCACAAGCTCCCATGCAGGACTCTCTCTGCGCCTGGAGTTGGGAGGCAGCTGAATTGGTGCTTCGAGGGGAGCCCGTGGGCGGAGTCTATCTCCCTGACCCCTTCCTCCCAACAGCTCTGGCAGCCGCCACCTCAGACTCAGCTACAGTTGCTCTGTTTCCTCTTCCACGTACAGCACTTGAGAACGCAGGAGAGTGGGAGTGAAGATTAAGAACCTCCTGGCACTGTCTTTTATATTTTTTTTCTAAATGCAAATCATTGTTAAACTTTGATGTTTGGGATAAACTTTGAGTCCAGACCTCATCTGTGTGTGAGAGCGAGAAAGACTGTCTCGCAACAGGTCCCTCTGTCAGTGGCACAGGGGCTGACCTGACCTGAAGCCTCCTTTTGTAAGATTTGGGTTTGATCATGCAAAATGTGGTTTAATTTGAGAACTCTGGCTTTTCAGATTCAGAGAAAATGGCACAGTACCTGGAGGAGGAACGTCACATGAGGGAAGAGAACTTGAGGCTGCAGAGGAAGCTTCAGAGAGAGATGGAGAGAAGAGAAGCCCTCTGTCGCCAGCTCTCAGAGAGCGAGTCCAGCCTAGAGATGGATGACGAGAGGTGGGTGCATGGCCTTCCTACGAGTCTTGTAAAACAAAAAAGAGGGGAAAAGCCTCCACGAGACCTCTCTTTGCATCCTGTTAGATGTGGAAAGGAGATGGCTTAAACATGTACTTATTGTGATGATGGGTTACCACCACATTGTAGGAGATGCTAAGAATGGGATAAGTGAAGAGGATTGAATGTTTTCCTTAAACACAAAAGAAGAAAACAAAATGCCTCTCTAAGATTATTTTGGGGTGGGGCAGGGCTGGCCAGTTAGCTCAGTTGGTTAGAATGCAGTGTTATAACTTGAAGGTTGAGAGTTCAGATCTACCTACTGGCTGGCCGCCAAAAATAGATCCATAAAAATAAATAAATTTGGTAGGGAGAGATATGGAGGGCAGAGGGTTATATGTAGATAGGCGGCAGAGTTTGCATTTTTATTGGATTAGTTTACGCCTGTGTTATATCCATTTAAAGCCCGGGAGTGTCTGAATTCCTATGCAGTCTACATATAGCAAGCTGTAGCGCAGCTTGAGGACACAAATGCAGGCATGGGACAAATATAAATCTAAAAAATTGTATTAATCAGCAGAGAAACCCAGCAGTTAGGGAATTAGCCTTTCTCTGAACCAGATCATTTCTGTAGAAAAATTCCCCCTTCTGGGTCAGGGATGCCCTTGCCTTACGTGGGCCATATTTCAGTGTGAGAGGTGAGACTGCACATCCTCAGGGGACCCTCCAACAGTGCTGGTCAGCCAGTGTCTGAGAGCAGGGTCTGCTAATGGCTATGACAAATAGTGCTGTCTGTTGATGCCAGAACATATTGTCTGAAAACACATAGGCAATAATTAGCACTTCAGCACTATGTGGAATAGATCCAGAGGGCTAACAAAGCTTTTGACCAATTTGCTATGGACAGTGGTATTATCATTTCAAGAAAAATGTTAGATTTTCTATAATAAAAGTCTATATTTTTATAAAGAGAAAAATTTATAAAAATAGAATAAGTTATCCTATTTAAAATATCTATGTGTATGCTACCTCATTTAAAAAGAATAACGATATCTTTTCTCAGGTTTGTATTATAAAACTACCATTCTTAATTCTAAATTTCACTGATCTATTTCTGATAGTTTCTTATTCTGTCTAAACTCCTTATCCTCTGAGAACTAAAAATGTCAACTAGAATACTAAATAGCTTATTAACTACATTATTAACTTTAAGAGACAGAGCAGAGCATGTGTTAACATATGTAGCACCCTGTATCCAATTTTGAATGAGACACACTGTAAGGGACACTTTCTTCTGACTACAATGACTTCAGGCTTCCAGATAAATAACTTTTTTTCCAGTACTGGTATGCACTCCAAAAGGTTTGCCTTACCTTTTATAGGTCAGATTATCCCAGATAGAGTACAGCTGCCCAGTAAATATTTCTTTCCCTACTAGGAAAGATGATGACATATTTGGGAGAAAGAAAATAGTCTGACACTTACGACCACGAGGCAGTACTAGTTGCCTCGCTGGATGTAGAATACAAGGAAAAGTCCAACCTCGTGCCACTATGGTGGGCTGCTCCAAAGAGGATAGGAAGAATCGATAGCATATATTTAGTTGAGATACATGTCAAATTAGGGAGCCTGGTTTTGTTCAAGTCAAACAAACCTGCTTAGAAATGGCTGAGTTAGAGTTTAAACGTGAACTAGTTGAGTGCCAGGGCTGAGATACAGGTGTATGCCTGTGTGGCCGCAAGGCCTGCGAAGGATGGTTTATCAGGAATTCTCTCAAGCAGAAATTTCTCCTCGTCAGCACTCTGTGCTTGGTTCACAAAATGAAAGCTGATGTTGCTGATGATCATGCTTCAGAATTCTCAGGTCTAATGTGACTTCTGAGTCCAGGAAGAAGTCAGACTTGGCACAGTGTGGCTAAGCGTGATCTGACATAGGTGCTCAGTAGTTGTGTATTTTATTACGTTCTAACGTGTGGCTGCTTGTTAGGCAAGGCTCACCTTGTAAACTATTGATGTTCAGTTTGTGGGAGTACATATATTTAAGCTTTAATTTGATGACATAAATCTCAGAGGGCTTGCTTGGTTTTGAGTTTCAAATAACAGTGTGAATGTAACCATTAAAAAGTGGACGACTTTGTAATTCTTGGGACAGTGGAATTTCTGTACAGCTGTTGTGTGACAGAGAAAAGGCTGGTCCTCTGTGTTGTATGGCTAAGCTCTGTCACCAGGCCTCCAGCCTGAGCTAAAACAACCTGCATTTTTTTTTTTTTTCCTTTTTGTCTTTTTTACTGACCGGTAACGGGATCGCAACCCTCTCCAGTGCGCCACCGGGCCGGCCCAACAACCTGGATTTTTTAACCTGTGCTTTGGGGGGAGTGAGGTTTGCCAGACGGTGAAGCAGTGTGACCTGGTGAACCATTTTATAAATATCTTTTAGCTATAGCATCACTCTCTAGGCATTTGGGATTTTGACCTCAAGATGGGAACCCCAAATATTTTCTCATAGGAAAAAACTCTCTTAAGAACTATTTAAATGCAGGTGGTTTGATCATTTTCCCCTCTCTCCTCTTAGGTATTTCAATGAAATGTCTGCACAAGGACTAAGACCTCGCACTGTGTCCAGCCCAATCCCTTACACACCTTCTCCGAGTTCAAGCAGGCCTATATCACCCGGTGAGTACCTGTCTTCCGCTACTACAGTGACTGATTTCTGGTACATTTAATAGGCAGTCCTGATGGGGTTCCCTTCGAGCATATAAAAATCTTGTAAACAGATAATTGTCATGTGTTTTTAAAAACATCAAAAACAAATCACTATCAAAACTAAGAGTTTTAGCTTGAAAATTTGAAGCATAAATGCCATAGTGCCAGTTGATGTTTCTCATCATTTCTTTTTTTAATCTAAAAGGAATTTGACCCCAAACACCTTTTTGTCTGTGACTATGATTTTATGTGGCAATGGATGAACAAAAACCTTGGCTAGCTTTCCCAGGTGCATCGTAGCGCATCTTATATGGGTCCTTTTAGTCTATTCCACGTGCATTATCTCATTTTTATTCTCAGGATAATTAATGTAGGCATCACTTTGCTTGTGTTAAAATGAAGGAAACAGCGATGAAAAGGTTCACTACTGGTCACACTGTCTGGAAGTGGCAAGGCAGGGAGTACCTGTGTCCGAAGCCAGAGTTCCTTCTTGCCTGAGTTCTTTCTAGCCTGAGCTGCCTCCTCACATTTCCTAATGAGCAGTCCTTGGCCCCAGAAGGCAGGCCGTACAAGAAAGAAAGAATTTCTGTCTGGCGGTCTGCTTCTAGCTTTCTCTTGGAAGCCTTTGCCTCAAAGGCAGACTTGTCTTCATCTGAGCCCAAAAACTCTCTCCCCAGGGTGTCTGGCTCAGTGCCAGCTCTGTGGGGAGCTCCCGGGCCAGGAGGGCAAGTCAGTGATCCAGCAAAGGAGGGAGACGGAGCAGAGGAAGGGGGGGAAGAAAAGGTAGCGGGCTGCAGGATTGTGTCTTGTGACTGCAAAGTGAGACCAATTTTCTTGTGCTTGCTAGTAAGCAGATTTTAAACAGAGCTGGGGAAAATAATGTGTGGGGGTGGGGAAGGGAACGCAGGAGGAGTTTCACAGTAGAATAGAGTGAGGTGACTACCTCGAAGGGTAGCAGCACAGAGGTTCTGTTGTAAAGCAAAACAGCTTTGCGTTAGGGTGTCAGCATCTTATTTGGTCTGTTATCCTGCCCGTAAGGCCAATGTAGGGGAAGTGGTGCTGTCATGTGGGTTGCCATAGATAAGTGTGAGATAGAAATGGCTTGGTTTTATGAGTTTAGGATCAAGCCCAGCACACTGTGCTGCTGTAACTTTTTTTTTTTTTTTTTAAAGAGAAAAATCAAAAGATAGAAAGTCCAATAGAAAGAGTGGCAGCTTTTGTGTACTTCATGCCGCCTTGCTCTCTGGCGTCAGGCGTGGGTAAAGAGGGGTGACCCCAGGCCAAAAGGACCTTCTATCATGGATCAGTGGCACAATCATCACCCCTTGTTCTTGCCTAGAGGATGTTCCTGAGTGTTTCTCCTACTCTTTGGTGGCCTTAAGTCTCTCTCCAAAAGCTTCTCTTCCTAGCTCCCTTTCAGTTTTCCCAAAATAGCACTTGGGTTTTATTATCATGATAAAGGTCTTTTTTTGCCTTCTCATTTATTGATGTAAAAGGAAGAAGCAAGATGATGGGTTATTTTGTAGTCAATGGTGATGTTGATTAATATTAGATATAGTTTAATATCCTGTTTATTTAAACCTAAAGAAATATTTAGAGGTGTGTGATTTTGAATAGATTAAAACTAGTGTTGCAGTCACTGAAAAAAGAAAAACAGATGGCAGACCTTGGTTGGGAATGTTACTTCCATTATAATAAGTATTCTGCAGAAAAATCTTATTCCATTTACATGATTTTGACTCTGACTGCACCTTGTTCCTGCAGTGGGACCTACTTCAAGTGTGGGGTTTTCCCTTAAACTATGTAATAATAACACCTAGATTTTTTTTTCCTTTCAGCTAGCCTATGTGAGAATATTTTAATTTTAAGTTCTATAATGTCATCAAAGTAGACTTTATCTACTATTTGGCAGCAGAATTACTCCCTCCTAGTCTAGTACGTTGCAATGCTATACGTAGTAGATCAACATAGTCTAAATGTTCCAGTTTTCTTCTCACTTTAGTTTTTATTAGAAGAATTTGTTTTTCAGTATTAAGAATATCTATCACTTCCTTGCAGAAATAGGTTGTTTGTATAGTTTTTATTTCCATTTTAAATATTTTGGTTCTTCCTCTTCCTTTCCCATTTTTGGTTAACATTGGAAATCTTATATTTTCACCAACTTGTCAAAATATTTTGCATCCTATGTCACTATTTGCTTGAAAGATACATATCCTAGAACTTATGAAAGTTCCTCTTCATGATTATATATGGGCTTATATATGTGAATTATATATAGGAACAGTGTTACTCTTCAACAATTATTTTTTAGGTTGTTCATTATTTTATGCAGCCTAAAAAAAGGACATTCCCAATTAGCATGTAATTGCTGTATTTAAATCAGGGATGAACAATAATGAGATCTAAAAGGGTCTGTACGCCAGTAAATAAAAGTAGATAAAATAATAATAATAAAAATAGGTTTGCACACCAATACCAATGAGTATACACTCGGCACCCAGATCTTGGTTTCTAATTCCATTCTCCAGTGGAAAGAACTAGGACTATTTGGAGAAATGGAAGTTTTAGGGCTGGGACATCTTATAGTACAAGAAAGTAAGGAAGTGCTCAACAACCACAATGATGGGGATATGTCAGAGGGATACAGGAGCTCCCAGACACCAAAAATGGAACAATTTGAGTGCTAAATATTATAATATTAGATTATAATCCAAGCATAAAACAAGTTTACTTAGTCCATACTGACAGAAATAAATGAATAAAAAAACAGGGAAGAAGAGACAAATCTGCTACAGAGAATTCCAAGTGACATATGTAAATACTCCCTCCTCAAGGAGGTGGATATAACTCTGTACTCCTTAAGTGTGGGCTCTGCGATTATAATATTTAGAGGTAAAGTATAGGAGGAAAACCTGGCAAAGGAGACCAGGAAGTTGCTACTAGAAAAGTGGAAAGCACATTGGTATATGATGTCACTGAAGTCAAGACAAAGTGTCTCAACAAGAAGGGAGTGGTCAGCTGTGTCAGCTGTAAGGTAAAGTAAAATGAGAAGTGGAGATCAGCAGCTGCATCTGGCAACGTGGAACTCACTGCAGCCCTTATCTGGAGAGGTTTGATGGAGTGGCAAGGACAGAAGCCAGCCAGGTCAGGGGAGTTAAAGAGGAAATTGTGTCTAAATGGTTTGCATTTTTACAAAGAGGATGTTTTCATATGTGACTTGTGTGTGTAAAATAATTTTAAAAGGAAAAAAAGGTCTGTCTTTAATTTGTTTCCACGATTTTTTTTCTTTAGCAAAGAAATATTAAAGAAAATTTGGGGCCATCAGAAAGATATAAAGAAGCAGAAATAGTCATCAAGAATCTTTCCATCTAAAAATGATGTTAATATTTTAGTGTTTTCTTGTGTCTTTCTCTCCTGACCCCTGCCCCTTGTGATTTTACTTTAGAGGGTCGGTTTCGTATGTATTATGAAGTACTTTTGTATCTTGCTTTATTTTGCTTAGGGTTCTTTTGGGGGGAGTCATGAATTGCTTTTAGTCATCTTTGAAATTTGCAGTCTTGAACTTGGCAGCAAAATTGTGAAATAAATCTTGAATTTTTTTGCTTTAGTTAATGCATTTTCATATCAAAGCAAGAAGTTTATTCCAGCAACAGCTTCGTAAAACCATAATATTCTACTTAATAAGTTGATATTTGCAGTTTAACAATTTCAACATAGGTTTTTGGAATTTTTATTCTTTATTATATTCTTGGGTGAGATGGTAAGATGCCTGATGATTAGAACTTAAGGGAAAACAAAAATTAGTAAGACATTATCCCTGGCCTCTAAGAGTTTATAATCAACAACAGGACCTGGGGAAGTAGGTAAAAATAAATAGAATGGGCCACAATAATCAACCACATTGTATATTGACAAAATAAAAATTTAAAAAAAATTTTAAAAAAAGCAGGAGAAAAAAAAGAAAATTTATAAATTTTATATATTTTATACACTTAAGGTAAGTTAACAAATGGCAGTACATTCGTTCGATGAAATACTAATCAGCAATAAAAAGGAATTACTGATACATACAACAACCTGGATGGATTGCAGGGGCATTATGCTGAATGGAAAGAGCTAATCTCAAAGAGTTACATACTGTATGATTCAATGTCTACAACATTCTCAAAGTCACAAAATTATAGTGTTGGAGAGCAGATCAGTCATTGACAGCAGTAAGGATTATGGGGACAATGATTGAGCACATGCACACACATGCAAAGAGTGGATGTGAAAACTAATGAAATTCAAATGAAGTTTGTACTGTAGTAACTAGTATCGAGCCAATGTCAATTTCCTGGTTTTGACAGTGTGCTGTTCTTTGTAGGATTTCATTGGGGGAAGCTGGGTGAAGGGTAATAGAAAATAAGCTAGATTTTTTTTTTTTCCCCTTAATGAATTGAATCTCCTGTTTGGGAATGAGGATCCACTTTCTCTTAAATTTCATCACTTTCATAAGAAATAGAATTAGGATTTTATTCCCCAAAGCTATTTAAAGTAAACCTCTCTTCCCTCTCCAAATTGAATGAAGTCCTTACACTAAATATCACATTAAATGACCAGTGAGCTCCCAAAGACTTGTACTTTACCTCTAGACCTCAATTTTGTAAATGTAATTCAAAAATCCACAATTGGAAATATATCAAATAGAAAGCATTACTAATTGATAGTCAGATCAAGGAATAAAAAAAACCCTTAGCCTTAGATGTCAAGGGCACAGAAAAGTCTTGTGATGGGACAACTAAAAGAAAGATTGTTGGCTGAATGTCTCAGTCATGGAAGCACAGAAAAACATCCTTAACAGCTTCTGGTTTTCCTGTAATTCAGAAAAGTGGTAAGTAGAGTTTGTGTTGCTTGGCATCCAGTAGCCAATCTTAGGTATAAAGGGGTTGACAATAGGTAGTTCCTATCCAAACACCCCCAAATTTCTCTTTGGTTTCCATTTCCACTCCATCCATTTGTATGGAAACTACCCTGTGCTGGGTATCCTGGTAAACACTGGGAACTCAAAGATGTAAAGACAGCTACATTCATGCAGTGAGAAATAAGTGATACCCCAGATACATGGAGCCTTCCACAGTAACTCTCGGAAGACTTAGGTTGCTTAGGCTGCACGTGGGTGAAGATCACTTTCTGATCGTTTTCAAAATATGGCTGTTTGGGCCTCAACCTAGACCTATTAATTATTAATAGTAAGGAGAGTCTAGACACGTGTACTTTTAAATCACTTTGGATATGATTCTAAGGTCCTAGATGAAAACTGGGGTTGTTTCTTCCCTAAATATCAGTTTCTTTCTGGAAACGTTGGCATACATTTAGAGATTTTATTCCCTGTGTTGAATATCCTCAAGTTGCAAAGTTCTCAGTGGTTTTGTTTGCCATCAGGGTTGCTACCCCCCATGCCCCCCCCATACACACAAATGTTTGTGTACCTTTTAACACTTCCCCTTGCATCTGAGTTTTTACCCCTTTGCTCTGTTTTGTCCACTTCATTCTTGTTTCTTCTCATGTCTTCCTAATCCTCTCCTACATCTCAGCTGAACTCCTGGCAAGGCTTGACTTTTTGCTGCTGTTGTTAATTATTGGGATAAGAACACTTCACATGAGATTTACTCTCAACAAATTTCTAGATGTATAATACAGTATTAGCAGCTATAGGCATAATGTTGTTCAGCAGCTCTCTAAAGCTTACGCATCTTGCTGAACTGAAACTTCATACCACTGAATAGCAATTCCCTATTTTCCTCTCCCCCCAACCCCTGGCAACCACCATTCTGTTCTCTGCATCTACAAGTTTGACTATTTTAGATTTCTCACATAAGTGGAACCATGCATGCAGTATTTGTCCTTCTGTGACTGCTTATTTCACTTAGTATAATGTCCTTCAGATTCATCCATGTTATTACTGATGTCAGGATTTTCTTTTTTTTAAGACTGAGTAATGTTCCATTGTATATGTACGCCACATTTTCTTTGTCCACTCATCCATTGGTGGACAGTTAGGTTGTTTCCACATCTTGGCTGTTGTGAATATTGCCGCAGTGAACATGGGAGTGCAAATATCTCTTTGAGGTCCTGTTTTCAGTTCTTTTGGATAAATACCTGGAAGTGAAATTCTTGGATCATATGGTAGATCCATTTTTAATTATTGAGGTATCTCCATATTGTAATCAATAGCAGCTGTACCATTTTACATTAACACCAACAGTATACAAGGCTTCCCATTTCTCCGTATCCTGGCTAACACTTACCTTTTGGTTTTTTGATAATAGGCATTCTAATGTGAGCTGACATCTCACTGTGGTTTTGATTTGCATTTCCCTGATGACTAGTGATGTTGAGCATCTTTTCATATACCTGTTGGCTATTTGTATATCTTCTTTAGAGAAATGTCTATTCATGTTCTTTGCTCATTTTTTATTTATTTTATTTATTTATTTATTTTTTTCCTTTTTGTCTTTTTTTACTGACCGGTAACGGGATCGCAACCCTCGGTGTCGCGCCCGTACCGGGGACTGGCAACGGGATCACAACCCTCGGTGTTGCGCCTGTACTGCGCTCAGCCAGTGAGCGGGAACCGGTCTCCACATGGGATCTGAACCCTCAGCGGGAGCGCCGCCGCACTCCCAAGCGGCGCACTCTCCAGTGCGCCACCGGGCCGGCCCTCTTTGCTCATTTTTTAAATAAGGTTATTCAAATGTTTTGTTTTGCTGAGTCATAGGAGTTCCTTATATATTTTGGATATTAACCCCTTACCAGATACATTCTTTATCAGTATTTTCTTCCATTTTATAGGTTGCCTTTTTACTCTGTTGATTGTTTCCTTTGCTGTGCAAAAGTTTTTTAGTTTAGTGCAGCCTAATAACACAAAGGTCACAGGTTCAGATCCCTATACTGGCCAGCGTGTGCGTACACACACGCACGCACACACACACAAACACACAGTCTTTTTAGTTTAATATAGTCCCACTTGCTTATTTTTGCTTCTGTTGTCTGTTTTTGGTGTCATATCCAAGAAATTCTTGCCGAGACCAATGTCAAGGAGCTTTCCCCCGTTTTTTTCTCTTTTTTCTTAAGAATTTTATACTTTCATGTTAAAAAAAAGTGTTTAGTCCATATTGAGTTGGTTTTTGTGTTTGGTGTAAGATAAGGGTCCAATGTCATTCTTTTGCATGTTGATACCCAGTTTCCCCAAAACCATTTGTTGAAGAGACTGTCCTTTCCCCACTGTGTATTCCTGGCGCCCTTGTTCAAGATCAGTTGATGATATATGCCCGGGTTTATTTCCGGGCTCTCTGTTTTGTTCCAGGACTTTTATATCCCTTTTATCCAGTATGCCGTTCCATGAGCCCACCACTTTTTTCATCTGTTTTCATTTTTGTGGGTGATTGAGAACCTCTGCATTTTAAGACCTCCTACATGTTTAAAGACATCAGATAAATGACTTAGAAATGACATTTAATTTGTTGTTGTTACATTTCAGGTCTATCATATGCAAGTCACACAGTTGGTTTCACACCACCGACTTCACTGACTAGAGCCGGAATGTCTTACTACAATTCCCCTGGCCTTCACGTGCAGCACATGGGAACACCCCATGGTGTCACAGTAAGTGTCTATGGGGCAGGATGTAGCACTTTACTCCTGATGGTGGTACCAGCTGGCCCTCTTTGGGAGACCAGGCTCGATACCCTTAAACATGTACCTCTCTTCCCGTCTCCCTCATCAGATCACCTTAAAACTATAGAGACTCCCCAACCATTTGATGCCAAATTCTGGTGTTGAAACTGAAATCCTTCCTGGGAGGTAAAACTTCAACTTCACTTTCTGTGAAAAATTGCCCTTTGTGATGTATAATTTGAATTCTTGCCAATGCCTCAGTTAAACCCTGGCCAACTCCTTGCCATAAAGAATTATTGTTGGTTGCCACAATGTCTAAAAGTATTTATCATCTGCACCTTCACAGTGCACTGACCCTCAATATTCTTCCCGAAGTTATAGCCTTGTTTCTAGTTTTTTTCTGAATTTCCTCTCCTGGAATTAGAAGGAAATTTAAGTGCTTCTGGTTCAAACTCCACTGAAGGGAGTTTTTTCTTTAGAGTTGGCTGTATAGTTGACCAACAGAGCGGTTAGAAATATAGCTAATAGGGTTCGAGAATTGGAGAGAATCAAGGGTATTTCCAATAAGAGAACATTTCAAGCAAGAACCCTATTTTATGAAAGCATTTAAGGTATTTCTGAAGTTATTTTGCCAGTTTAATGGACTTTATAAAAATGTTGAGCTGTAGCTTTCAGGATATGAAAACTTGTTTGAGATGAGTCATGGAAGGAATTGGGGAAACACACCTGACAGAAAAGCTTTAAGATGACATGACAGCTTTTTAAAAATTTTACAACTGTCTCTTCAAAAGGCCCAAGTCCAGAAATTTGGTGAACACAAGATTTATAGTAATTTTGCATAGCTTTCTCATAGGTGTAAGTGTAAACACTGCCTTGTTTTAAGTTTTCATTACCATTCAGAAACCAGCAGGGATAAAGAAGGAAATCACTGGTTTCTTGTCTGGTGGTTTTTGTTTAGCCTCAGCTCTGAGTCAGGCTGTGGTAAAAATGAGCTGTGTGCACGTGGCCTGACCTGCTGTTCCTGTCCTTTCTACAGAGGCCTTCACCACGGAGAAGCAACAGTCCTGACAAGTTCAAACGGCCCACGCCACCTCCATCTCCCAACACACAGACCCCAGTGCAGCCGCCTCCGCCTCCGCCTCCGCCACCCATGCAGCCTGCCATCCCGTCGGCCGCCACCTCGCAGCCTGCCCCCTCGCAACATTCGGTGCACCCCGCCTCCCAGCCTTAATGCATGTGTTTAGTCTGAATTTCAAATTGGGACTCGTCCAATGGAGCCGTCTGTCTACTCAACGCCAAAGGCTTCCTCCCCTGGCATATTCGGATCTGACTTATTTGCACTGAGGTTATCTAGGCTTCACTACCCATCATGTTGTAAATGTTTGTCGGAAATGCAGCCAGTGTTGTGGGTCTACAACACTAACAAGACGACTTTTTCCATCAGTATTTTACTTGAATCTACATGTACGTCCATTCCCTGGCTGGAACCTTTGCTATTCCGTATTTGGTAATTCAGCAGCAGTGCGCAATTTTTGCTTGGCCCCAGAGCTTCATTTTCCTGGCTTTTAAGTTTGTAAAAGAAAAAGGGATATCTTTTTATATTTTTTTTTCATGAATTTGCCGAAAATTACTGAGCTGTTATTACCTTTCTTCTCCCATTATAACGGTGTTTACCCAACATACCAATAATTCAGCACTACAATTCAGATCTTTGAAAATCTAGCTTTCAGTATAGAATGGGAAGTTAGATGAATCAGTGCCCAAGATGCATATTCTGTTTAATAGAGCTTTCTACAGATACACTTTTTACAGGTTATTTTCAGTATATGTCAACATCCATGTCTCTTGTAAAAAAGACAGCCTAAAGTAATGAATCACATGGCTGTACCTTTTCCACTTACATGGGATGGATAATTATTGTATATTAAGATGTGATTCTTTCCTTTATCCTTTATGTTAATCTTCCTAAACTGGCTCCTTAACATGAGTTGATAAATCTTGTCCTACCCACCAGTGGTTTTAATGGCTGATCAGAATGTACTGTTTGATTTCTGCTACAGAAGGCAGTGTGATTGTAACAAAAACAGTGTGATTCGCCCTTCCATTCTTTATTTTTTGTTCTCCAGAAATGGAACAAATTTTTAAAGGTGCAAAGTATTATTAGAAAATATTATTTGAAATGGACATTGTAGGAGTATCTTGGCATAATGGCCACAAAATACTATATTGCTTGGCAGAAAGGAAAAGAAGTGTAGAGGAAAGTAGCACAGTACTATTGATGGTTGCTTATTTTGCCCAGTATAAGCAAGTGCAGTGTACAAAGAAGTATATTCTGAATACATTATTTTCATTTACTCAGCACAAATAAATTGTTTGGTTTCACTTTGAAGTGGACCACTGTGAGTCACTCTTTTCTTAATACTTGCAACATCTTAATTTTTATTTTTCAGCAGTTACTTGTTTTGTATTTTGGTAGCAAAGTGATTTTTACCACCTGTGTTTGCATATTTATATATGCTGTGGGTGAAAATAACTTACTAGAGAATGTATATTTTATGATGAGAATGTGTATCAGTTGGATATAATCAGAGAACTGAAAATTTATCAGTAACTTTGAAGAGTCCGTGTTCTGTGACAACCATCCCAGTTAGCTAACTCTATATTGTACACACTCCTACAAGTAAGGAAGCGTGGCATTGTAGATATTTAATATTGTACAGTAAAGAAACCTCCATTTTTTGCCTTCAAATGCATATTTAAGAGTTAACAGAATGAAAAAAGTCTTGTTGGATAATAGTATTTGACTAGCATTTTAAGAACTTGAAAGTAAAAGCAACAATAGGATTTTTCACCTCTTCCTTCTTCTACCCCCAAACTGAGAACATCACTCCTTAATTGTTTGGAAGAAATTGTAGGTCTATATAAATTTTATTTATAATGTGTGTATAATATACATAATCATAGTACAGTTCTCAAATCTGGGGAAGAAGTTTGGCATTTAATTATTGAGGCTTTAGGTTTTTAATATGATCAGACCGAGCCGTGTCAAACCCAGCTTTTTCACCAACAGCTTCCTAACCCTCCCGGTACATGCTGTTCCAAGGAATTCTGAGAGTAGGCAAACAGATTTTGCCGTCACGGTACAGTTCTTGGTGTTTCTTATAGGATAAATATGGTATGTTTACAAGACTCTTTTATGAGATTATAGATTTCAGTGCTGTAGGATAGTCTTGCATTCAAACAAAGTCCACAATGTTCTTCCCTCAGCTTTTGATCAATTTAGTTACCTCCTGAAAGCACAAAAATTAAAACATTGCCATATGGGGAATGAAAAAGCACTTGGAGTGAGCAAACAGTTCCTGATAAATGCCTTTTAGAAACAGGTTCTTGACATTCGGATTTCTGCCGAAATGTACTGCTGGTTCCCTTAGACTAGTCATTTCCATTCAAAATAGAACACAGCTCCTTCAATCAGCACTTTTTCAGCATAGATCGAGTTGCCTCTCCTGCAGACATTCAGAACTGATAGAACAAACACTACTATTTTGAATTGATGATGTCTCATGTCCTTTTAAGGTGTTTTGCATCCCCTTGTGGAGTCCGTAATGCTTGGATAGTATCTGCTAGGACAACTTCTTAACTGTTGCTTAGCCACCAGGGACCCATAAGGTTCAGATCCTGAGCCCCTAGAGGCAAGAGCGATGATGTCTCATGTCCTTTTAAGGTGTTTTGCATCCCCTTGTGGAGTCCGTAATGCTTGGACAGTATCTGCTAGGACAACTTCTTAACCGTTGCTTAGCCACCAGGGACCCATAAGGTTCAGATCCTGAGCCCCTAGAGGCAAGAGCCCCTCACCTACAGGGAGCTGACTTACCTCGGCTGGGCGCTTCTCACTGGGGCTGAACATGTTACTGCTGTGTGTTGCCCACTCGCCCAGATCACACATGGGCTGACTCCTGGGAGGCCTTTGTAGAATCAGTAGCCATCCTGCAGGCAGGCAGGAGCAACAGTGGCTTCAGTAGCTTCATTTTCCTGTCTTGCTGACAGAGACCCTTGGCTACCACTGTGCTGCTAATAGAATAAGTACTCTGTTGCCAGATTACCATGCCTTTTATACAAAACCAAATTAACTTACCTAATACCTGACACCTCTCTGGGCTCTGAACTGCTTTCTCTCATCAAGCATGCTGGCATTCTAGAGAGAATTCTAGAAATTTGGTAGATGGTGGAAGTATTTAAGATTGAATTTAACTTACTCCTTTGTTGATTGAAAGGAGTTTTAAATTCTGAGCTCCTGAGATACTAACAACCATGGAATGAATGTGAGACCAGAATGTGGCTTTGACACCAAGTGCTGCTGTCCCTTTGTGATTGGCTTCTAACTGATTTGACCAGAAGGAATTAATAATGTGAATTTTTGTTACTTGTTCAATTGTAGGAAAATAGAATATGTATCGCCCTTCATTAGGTAGACATGAACTTTTCCTGCACGAAGCCTTGCTTGTAGAGGACGCCCAATAAGGCAAGACAAAGTATATAGTAACTTGTGCTTTGAGAGCTCAATATTTTTATCTTATCAGTACAGAAGAAACATTTCTGTGTAACTTGATCTTCTGTCTAGTACTTGTCTTATAGGAAACCAACACTGAAAACTTTGTAGTGATGACTACCAAAGAAATACATAGTAAAACAAACGTTTATTTCCAAGTACACACACACACACACACACACACACACACAGGCTTTGGATGTCACATTTGGTATATCAGTGAGTTTATCCTTAAAAGTTTCAATCTATCTGTCCATCTGTATGGTTTTTTCTTCCTAGTTGTAGAAAGCATGGCTTTAGGATTCTAGATTTGAGTACCAGTTCTTTCCCTGGGCGAGTAACTTAACATTTGTAGGATTCAAGGTCTTTAGCTGTAAAATAATATCATGTATATACCATGCTAAAATGAGAAAATGGGTAAGAAAGTACAGTATGGTCCCTCACATATTCAATAAGACATGGACTAGTCCCTTCCACATTCAATTATTTAGGAAGAAACTTTGAATATTTGAGGTGATGTTTTATACATGTTTGGGGGTATAAGGGTTGCCAGTTCTGTTTTGGTAAGCCCACAGCATCCACATTCTGGAAAAAGTGCATAGCACTTAGCAGGATGGTCGTAGCAGGAGTATAGTCTTCAAGAACCTATTTGTGATACCATCTTAGGAGTGCAAACTTTAAATCTAGGCCCTTTTCTATATTAAAGTAAATCTTTTTTTTTTTTT